TCTCCTTATCTGTGAAATGGGGCAGATAGGCAAGATGTGTATGCAGGGAGAGGGTGTGCTCTTGGGCCTGAAATCACATACTTCCTAAAAGACAGTTTGCCCCTGCTAAAGCTCCAAGGATTTCACTGGTGGTGACTTGGCCACGATAGCAGGCCTGTGTTTCAACAATCTGGCTGTGGATAATCTAGCTGATCTCACAGTGGGTGGTGCAAAGAGCACTGGGCTGGGACTCAGGCTACCAGAGCTCCAGTCTCGGTCCTATAGTTAATGTGCTATGTCACCCTTGGCAAGTCCCTTTCCCCCTCTGAGCCTCAGCTTCCCAAAATCTAAAATGAAGGGGCTGGACTCATCACCAAAGTGCCCCTCTAATAGTGACATCCTAAGACTCTGTGCCCTGTGACAATTTCTCCTGCTGCTAAGGGAGGATGGAGTTCTCACAGATTGCTCTGACTTGTTAGATGTTCATTAAGTACTTTCAAGGTTGGCCAGCTGACACCGAGTGTGAGGTATCACTTACTACCTGCCCAGAAACCCTTATGTTGGCAGGAAGCTGATTTATTCCTAGGCCTCGAACCCTAACTTTCCCCTGCCTCTTGCCTGTTAAAAGTTCCGGTGTAAGCTGCTTAAATGAAGGGGTGAGAGATACACTGCCTACTGATGGGCAGCCCACCCAAGATTTCTGCCACAGGTACTTGAGGGCTGGGGGACCAGGGCAGGAGGGACCAGGGTTGGGTTCCTGGGTCCACATGACTTGAGGACGCCCCAGTCAAAACGGGAGCAGCGCACGTTGTTCCAAAGCCTTACATCATTCTCACAGCAGCTGATGCCTGATGAGTGCTTCCTATGTGCCAGGCATGAATATAAGCACTTCATGTACATTAACTCATTTCATTTCAGGATAATCCTATGAACGAGGTACTATTATTGTCCCCACTTTATAGATGGAGAAACTGAGGCCCAGATAGGTTAAGAAACTTGCCCAAGGTCATGCAGCTAGTAAGTGGCAGAGCAGCACACAAATGCAAGCCATCTGGCCCCGGTGTCCATGGTCTTCAGCTAGCTTATTTAATACTCTCCCAGGTCCTAGCAGCAGGGATAACATCTGCCCCTTTTACAGGTGAGGAGGCTGGGCCCCAGCGACTCAGCTACTTGCTTTATGGCATCGTGGCTGCCACTTTATGTTTGGCTCCCCTGTCCCCCACCGCAATCTTCCATGCATTCCTCAAGCTGAAAGCTCACCTCTGTGACTTAAGAGCAATAAGAACATCCCTAGTCAGGTGGCTGCTCTGCGCCGGCCCGAGGCTAGGCCCTTGGCACGTCTCCTCTCTAATCCTCAGCACAGGCCCAGGAGGCCACACAGCTGCTAAGTGGCAATGCAGAGGTCCCTTCCAGGCCCATCACATCTAGATCCAAACTCTATGCTCTTTCTGCCACCCAGCTGGACACTAACTGTCCCATCTGGCTACCTCTCAGAGGAGGGGAAAGAGGCAGATATCTGCCTTGGCCTGAGCCACAGGCGAGGAGCAGGCTGTGTCCTCTTTGCTGCCTGCCCCTGGAGTTTTGGGAGCATATTCTGACAGGGCCTGCTGAGTCAGATGTGGGTGAAAAGGAAGCTGCTTTGATAATGAAGTGCTTAGGACACAGAAACTGGCCTGAGAGACGTCTCATGCAGAAGTCTTGTCCTCCAAGAAAGAACAGATTTGGGGAGGGGCAGGTGGGCAGTTGGGAGGGGGATTCGGTTTGGTGAAATGCTGCCCAGGGAGACCAGGCTTAGGCAACTGACTGCCCTTGCTGCAGCTCTTGTAAATCTCACCAAGCGAGGCACCAGTGTGAACTCATTACCCTCCCTGTGTGCAGCCCTGCCAGCCCTGCGGGCCAGGGACCAGGCTGCTGGAGCCCGTGTCCAAACCACGTGTAGGACCGCTCGGGGTCTCCCTGTGCATCTGACTCAGCCAGGCACAATAGGATGGGCACTGCCTGCCGCCTGACCGCTCCCAAAGTGTCCCTGCAGGCTGAGCCTACAGGAAGGTCATTGATGACAGCAGAGTCCAGAAACAATGCAACCCAGCAGTCCTCGTGAGTCCAGAAAAAGAAGTGGTGGTGTAACAGGATGCTTAATTCAGGCCAGTTGACCTCCTTCTATCTTTGGGAATAGTCTAGCTTCAAAGCCCCTCATGGGTCCTCCCCAACTAGAGCTTCTCCCAGGCTCCTAGAATGCCCCTCAGCCCACATTCTTTGGGTGTGTTCCCATAACCCTCTGTATGCTAAGACTGGTATGTGGTAACAATAATCATAGCTGCTGCCTATTAACAGGTTCCATTTGTCAGGTAGGCCCTGGGTTGAGGGGTTAATGTTACCATTAGCTCCACTTTACAGAAAAACTCAGCCTCAGAGAGAAATGACTTGCCCAAAGCCATACAACAGAGAAGTAGTAAAGTATGAATTTCAGCCTAGGTCTGCTGAGTCCCAGAAACATGAACCTCCAGCCAGTAAGGACTTTTCATGTCATCGCTTGTGATCACCTCTATGTGTCCCTCTCTCCGAGAGCACCTAGACAGATCCCAGAGAGACTCCAGGGAAGGGTTGCCAAGCATGTCTTGGCAGAGTTGGCGGAGCTTTCACTGTGCCATTTATCACTGTGTCCCCTTACGTCAGCACCAGGCATTGCCACCCAATGAGCATTTGTTGAGTGAAAGTAAATAAATCAAGACAAGCTCTCCCTGCCCAGTGCCTGGGTCCCTATGCATCCTACTTTCCCAGGAACCGGCCACCCACTGTGGCTCATCCGCTGGGAGCAGAGGGGAGGCTCTGCCTCACTGCCAGGAGTGCCGCAAACACGGGGTGATAGGGCTCCCTTGACCCTGCCGAGGCTGCTCCTGGGAGACAGGCAACCCAGGGGACCTCACGGCCCAGCATGGGCTCACCGAGGCCACTGCCAACCTCATTTACCAGTGCAGAAATCATAAGTCACTCATATATACCTGGCCCTTTCACATCCATACACACTCTCACTTGTATCACCACAGCAGCCCTGGGACGAAGGATAAACAAACAGGGGCCCAGAGAGACCAGGTGACTTGGACTTGGCCACACAGCTCAGGACAGAGTGAGGACTTGTGCCCAGGTCTTTGGACTCCTGGGCCTGGTTCTTTCCACCATCCCAGGTGGCCCACGCTCCACCAGGCTCGGTGATTGGAAGGGGGCCAGAAGGTTGAGACTTAAATCCCAGGCCCTGAAGAATTTTACAAAACAGAACTTGGTTTAGCCCAGTCCCTCCCAGAAGTGTCTCCCGTGACAATCCGAGCAACAGCCACATTCAGATCACGAAACGATGTGCGGTTTCAGAAGTCAGCAGCCTCCCCTGCACTGCCCCCACCTCCAACTCTGACCAGCAATTCCCTGAATATTTGCCAACTGTTTAGAGAGAAGGAGAGGGAAAGCTTTCTGGATCACGTCCCTGTTTATACTAGTAGCAAAAGCTCCAACAACTTTGATGAGATCTACACTGGCAATCTCTCCCCAGGGCTGATGTAGGATGTTTGGGGAAGGTCTGTGTTCTAGGCAGATAGGGCAGCCAGGATCCTAAAGGGAATCAACGCATTTCATATCTGAGGTTAAAGAAACATCTCTCTTCCTCCCATTTGACTCAGGAATTCCTCTCTAGAAATCTATCCTGAGACGAAATTTTATGCACAAAGACGATAACTCCTGCTTTAGTTTTAACGGTGAAAAATCGGAAACAACTATTGTCCAACATTGGAGGGATGGTTAAATGAACGATGGCGCATCCATACGATAACTGAAACCATTAGAAACATTCTTTATGAAAAACACTTTAGATGACTTAGGGAAACACTTACGATGTAACATAAAGCCAAAAACAAAAACAACAAAAAAAGGAAAGGACATAAAATCATATATAATGGGGGAAAAAAGCACACAGAAGAAAAGATTGAAAGGAAATGAGCCAAGATGTCAATAGAGGCTGCATATCCACATGGCAGAACAAGGTTTTTTTTTTTTTGTTTTTTTTTTTGCCTAATTTATACCTTTTTTGATATTTTCCTTTTCCCCACTACATCCTTAGAATAGTTAGAAAAACAAATACACAAAGCTACCCAAATCCATATACTCTCCCCCCATAAGGGCAGTGAATTGTCTGAATAGCCAGAAAGGTTATGATGCAGACTGGTTAGGAGGAGGAAGGTCGATCCCTGTCACCTTTCCCATCACACGACTACCCCTGACAGGGCCATACCCATGGGGCCAGCCCTTGTAAATTTGCCTTTGAGATTGTCTTGGGAATTTCCAACTCAGACTTGGTTCTTTGGCTCCTGCCTTCGGGAGCCTGTATCTGTACGGGGTGAGGATTGCAGGTAAGGAATTTCCTCTCTAGACCCACGTAGCTCCTGTCTCTCAGGAAGGAGGAAGCCAGTCTCTAGCATCTTCCCATGTAAAGTCCTGCTGTACACGAGAGGGGAGCTGGTAGCTCAGGGGATGTTATTTTTGGAATCTGAGGCCGTGCCCACAAGAAGTTACCTTGTAGTCTCTCCAAAAAGCAGAGAGAAGCTCCCAAGGCTTGGGTTAGGAGAATCCTGTGCCCGGGAGAGGGCAGACACAACAGCAAGAGAGGCTGTGGCTACAACGCAGCAAGCTGCCAAGCTGCAGCCGCTGTGCTGCTACTCCTAACGCACGGCTCTTCTGTTTGTCCACCCAGTAGCATGTGAGAGACAAACCCCCACGACTCTAAAGGCAGCCCATGTACCCGCTTCATTGGATATGTGCTCGGTTTATCTATAAGCCACACTCTGGAGGAGCAGATTTAAGCTCGGCCTGCTGTGTCCTTCGAGTCCTCAAACCGTCTCTGTGGAAACATAGCTCTATCCACACCATCCCTACTCACATTTCCAAGTTTCTGCACTCTAAGAAATAAATGATAACTACATGCAAAGAGGTCTGTAAGGTTAGAAGCATATGGGTTTCCCCCAGTCTAGGGGGGCTCAGAAGCCTGAACAGCCCAGGAGCACAGATGTGGAAGCCCCCAGGCCTGGAGAAATAGGGACACAAATCAGAAGGTGAAAAGCCAGAAATAAGGTTCCACTTAGCCACCAGAGGGGCAGTGGGTCTCCCTGACATCAAAGTGGTTTAAATCAACTCACCGAACATGTTACCCTCGTAGCCGTCCTTCGTTAGCGGACGGAGCTCGTTTTTCCCCATTGCATAACGCTTATAGCTCTGCCAGGCAAACTGCATCATCTGCAAGAAAAAGCAGAATACAGAGAACCTCAGTGGTCAATTTCCAACGGTGTGGACTGGCCGCCTGGCTCTGCCCTTCGCAACAGGATTTTAAACTCCAACTAAATAATAATCTTCCAAATTAAACAAGGTGACTTCCTTTCACCATAATTTTCATCGTACATTTACAACTGCTGGGAAAGCCATTCTCCTCAGCCAAATCCACGTGTCCAGAGTCTACCCGTAGATTTCCTAGAGAAGACACAAAAGCACTAACTAAATTCTAGGTATCTTTCAGTGCCAAACTGAAAAGCCATCTCTTCCACGAAGCCCTCTCTGTTTTGCTCTGGCCTAAAGTGATCCTCTGATGGGAGGGAAACCAACCCTCGCCGAGTGAGTGCCTACTATAATCTAGTAGAACAATCCCCCAAGCAAGGTATTGTTAACTCTACTTCATAGGTACGGAGACAGGTCCTAGGCCTGGGGTCACTTGCCCAAGCTTACCCAGCTGAGTCAGTGAGAGTGCTGGGGCTAAACCCACGCCCTCTGGCTCTGATGCCTTAGGTCCGTCCCCTAAGCTTTGATTTTGTCCCCTAAAGTCACGGCAGGAATCTCTTTGAACTACTTTGACCCCCTCAGCCATCCCAGGCTCCCAGCTGGTCACTGTTCTTTGTTGCTCCCTCGGCTTTGGGCCATAAGCTCCTGAAGGCCAGAAACTACACTTGGCTCGCCTCAGTTTCCTCCACAGCACCAGGCGCAGGGCTTGGCATAGGTACACATTGGTGAGTGTCTGTGGACTCGTCACCCTGCGTGTGCACAAGTTTACTATGTAAAGGCAACTGTGTCAGTCCCTCGGGAGCACGATGCCAGCACCTCGCTCCCCGGCTGCACTGAGACCTGGAGGCTGAAGGAGATGCAAAGTGACGATCTGTCCCATCCCCGCCCGGTGTACCCCAGGGCCTCCCTCACCTGCCTGTGCACGGCAGGCTGCAGAAGGAGCCAGCAGAGCAGAGCTCTGTGGTGACCAGTGGAGGAGCCAGAAGCAGCAGAGACACCGCCGAGGGACAGGTGGGTGGGGAAGCAGCCTGGTGCACTGAAAGAACTCAGGCTTCCAGGCCAGAGAGGCCTCAGTTCTAATCCCCCCTCTGCCTCTATCTCTGTGACTTTGGCATGAAACTAAATGTCTCTGAGTCTCTGCCACAGTCCCGAAAGGTTTAAATGAAAGAACGTAGCGGAGATGCCCAGTTTCTGACTGGACACTTCAAAGTACCCATCTGGCTCTCCAAGCCTCATCTACCCCCACCCCATCCAGCCTACTAGTTCTCAGATGTTTGCTTGCATCGGAATCACTGGGGGGCTTGTTAAAACAGGTAGTTGGGTCCCATCCCTGAGTTTCTGTTTCAGCAGGTCTGGGTGGGGCCCAAGAATTGGCCTAACAAGTTCCCATGTGATGATACTGTCCATGGCCACATTAGAGAACCCCAGGTCTATTGTATTTGTTTATGTCTACTGTTCGCCTCACTTCCAGACACCGTCCTGCAACCATCTGCTTTCCCCTCCTATCTCCCGGCCTGTGTCTCCTGCCTCAGCACCTGTCTTTCTAGGACATCTCCACCTGATTCTCCACGCTAAGCTGTCCTGGGGCCCACGCTTAGAAGCTGTCTGTCTCTTCCAGGCACATCTGGACAATAATCACGGCTATATCCCCAATGTACAGACCAGCAAGGCAGACCTGACAGGTCTGGGCTGGGACTCTCCATGAAATGGCAGAATAACTGAATACCACCCCCTACTTCACAGGTGATGAAACTGAGGCTCTGAGATGGAACGTGGTCAGAGCAGCACAGCAGCCAGGTGGGAATCCAGCTCGCTCATCGCCCAGGGCAGCAGACCCCACCCCATGCTTGGCCTGACATGTGGCTTCCCATGTGACACACATGCAAATGTCATGGCAACACATGCCAAGTGCTTGGCATGGGCCTGGAGTCCTGGTTCCATTCCTCTATTATTTTCTACTTATCTCGAATTGGCAATAACAGAAAATAATTGTTGGGTACGAGGGCTTGAGGGGGACTGGCCTCCTCCCTCGGTCTCTCTTATCTGGGGCTCCTTCTATTAAGTCAGTGTGAGGGGAGGGAGGACAGGTGGCTGGGGGCGGGGGAGAGCAGCAGGCTGTTAAAACACAAATGACAGCAGAAAAGGAGCAGAGATTTGGAGGGGGCACACCCCACCCTGAAAACTCCCCCTGCCTAGAGAGAGAAGTGGGTGTTCAGGAGTAATTACGAGAATCACAGGCATCTACGAGTTATCAAAGAAGCTGTCACCGCAGGAACGTGGAGACATTTGGAATGTGGCCCGTTCTCACAGTCATCCACACCAACAGAGGAGACGAAGGCACAAACGGCCCCCGCGTCACTCGGGCCTGGATTCAGAAAGCAGTCAGAGCTGCCTCCATGTGCAGACCCTCCAATGCACACATGCCTCCCGACTCGGGCCACAGGAGGCTCAGCCTAGGTGCTGGATGAGCAGGGGATGGGACAGCCCCCCAGCCAGGTGGTCCTTACCTCTCTTCCTAACACACCCTAAGTAAGCACCAAACAGGTGTCCTGTCCCATGTTTGGCTGCAGTCGTGGTGGGAATGCTTTCCCAGCCCCTACCCTCTTCCTTCTGGCCAACTGCTCGTCTGCCTTCAGGTCCCAGCTGAAAGAGCACTTTTGCAGGGAGGCCCCTTTCCCAGCCAAGCCTAAGGTGGGCCCCTGACTCAGACTCCCACTCCTATATTTCTGATGTGCCGTCCTATGGTAGCCGCAGTCAAGCTTTCACACCTGCAACTGTGGAGCCAGTCCCCCACCCATTCACTGCTGCATGCCCCACAGTGCACCCGGGGACTGGCATGTGGAAGGTGCTCATTAAGTATCTGCTGAGTGACTGTAGAAACAAACAAGAAAATTGGCTCTGGAGCTTAACACATGGCTGGGAGACTTGATATGGACCACACACATCACAGGTAAAATGCATAACAGGCAAACAGGTCAGAGAGCAAGGGCTGCGGAGCAACAGTGGTGCTCAGAGGGGGCGAGCGTGTATCTTAAGGGAAGCCTCCGGGGTACCCAACGGTCCTGATGGGCAGGTAGCACTGTGAGGGGCACAAGAACAGGAAGACCACAGACAGGCTAATATTTTCGCTCTGGAACTCGTGATATGTGCCATGGGCAATATCGGTATTTTGGCTTTAGAGATGGACAGTCCCTGACTTCATGCTTAGGCAGTTCTAAGACCTCCAAGGTCACCCGGGCCACCTTCTAGCCCACAGAAGCTCCTTAATAAAGGATTAAGTAGTCTCTCCTTGAAAACCCCAGTGACAGGGTGCTCACCACCCTGCCAGACAGCCTATCTAATAGTGGAATTTCACAAAATCCTTCGTTAATCAGTTCAAATCTGTTTTCCCCTGCAGGCTACAGGGAAGATAGCGCACCGTGCCTCCACACCACAGACCCTCAGCCACCGGGAGCCAGCTGTTGGCCAGCTGAACAGCCAGCTCCTTCAACAGTTCCCCTTGTGGCAAAGCTCTGAATCCCCTGCACTCAACCGTGGTACCCTCTGAAACCACAGAGCCACATGACATAACTTCTTCCAGGTGCCGCAAGACTTTGTCACCCATGTGTTGTGGCTGGCTATTCTTTCGGTAATGAGCAGAGACCAAAGGGCAGACTCACCCTAGTTACATCTGGACCAGATCCTGTAGGTGTAGACTTGCCATTGCCTCTTATAACTTCCCTCTTGTGGGACTCTGCCTACCATTCCCTGCTGTCAGGATCTTTCTGGAACCAGATATTATCGTTTGACGTGTGTGTCTGCCTGCTTTGGGTAATCTGCAGACTTGATGGGATGGCCATCTGCATCTCCCCCCAGGTTTTGGACAGAATGTAAGCCAATGGGCGAGGACAGAGCTGGGAGACTGCAGCAGAAAGCTCTCTCCTGGACCCTGCACTGTTCTTTGATGTCATCCGTGAGCAAATGAGGAATCCACCAAGCAATCAGTACAACCCTTGTTTCTCCATTTTTGTACATGAAGATATTGTGAAAGGTGGGGCTGAAACATAAAAATACCTGTCCTAATACAGTTAGTATAGAAAAAATAAATTGCTTTTTTTTTTTAAAGGAAAATATGGGGTAAGACTGGCATGATTGTTCTTAGAGAACCCATTTTGGCTCTTATGGATCATCATATTTTATTCTAAACGCTTGCAAATCACTAACTTAAAAAACCTATCAGTCCCACTTGGACGGCTATACTAAAAAAGAAGGACAATAAAACGTTGGCCAGGATGTGGATAAATTGGAACCCTCACAAATAGCTGGTGGGAATGAAAATGGTTCAGCCCCTCCAGAAAACAGTTTGGTAAAAAAAGTTAAATATGGAGTTATGTATGACCTAGCAATTCCGATTCCAGGTATGTACCTGCACAGAAGAGTTAATACGGCAGGTCTCAGAGTTAATAGGCCTTTCTAGCCTCAGAAAGGCCTGCTTACAAGGTTGGCCCTCCCCCGGCATCTGGGAATTTGGTTTTCCCATCATTTTCTAAATGATAAGGGCAGATTACTGTTTGTGCAAACAATGTAGCTTATGTTGAACAACGATTTTCCTTCTGGGAATCTGGAATTATAGACATGTTAGGCAGAGGGTTGTCTATGAAACCAGCCCTCAATAAAAATCTTGAGCACCAAATCTCTAAAGAGCTTCCCTGGTAGGCAACACCTCACCTGTGGTCACAGTTTGATGCTGCAGGAATCAAGTACATCCTATGAAACGTGCACTAGTTTCCTCTGGACTTCTCCCCCTGCACTGCTTCCTTTGCTAATTTCGTATCCTTTCTCTGTAACAGACCAAAGCCGTGAGAAGGACACGGACTGTGGACTATGTGCTGAGTCCTGTAAGTCCTCCCAGTGAATCACTGAACCTAGGGATGGTCTTGGGGACTCCCGACACACACCCAAGAAAGATAAAAACATATTTCCAC